TTTTTAATCACAGAGGTACAGCGCCTCTCAAATCCAGTGAAAAGAAACCAAGGCCTTTTTTTTATTATTCTTTTTGACCACATGCTTTGTGTGGTTTGAATAAAAAAAACAAAAACAACAATAAAACAAACACGCCGAGCAATAAACAGGCCGCCACTCGAATGCGACGCAACGATGGGAGCTGATGGCAACTCATCCGTGACGTGAACGTTTCTGACTTTGGAAATGAGTAAGCGCACTCCCGCCTACGCGAAAGTGGCCGACGCAAATAATCAGCGTGTCACGTCAACGACAAAAAGGGGGCGGGGGGGTGTTTTTCCAATTTGTGGCGAACGATGACGGCAGTAGGAGGCGCGGTCTGTGCCGAGGCTGTGACACAATCCAAAGGAATGGGCTGCGAGCAGAGTTCACGAGAATCAATGTTTCACAAATAACACTTCGGATTTTAATACCTCTGGTTTGTGCAACAAAACTGGTTACGGTATCTCATTTCAGCGTTACTTTGTTGCAGCGTCTCCTCAATACCTGTTGAAGCCCCACACCATAATACCTCCTCCACCATCGGTCAGAGGAGTTTTTGATGTTGTACCTTTAAGTGCCTTAATTGCTTCATCAATATTGAGAAATTATTTTACTTAAACAAGTCTATATATATATTTTTTTTTTGCTAAAAAGTTACTTTTAAGTTAGCTTTGTCTTAGATATTTGCAATTTTTTTTCTTACATAAAGCGTTAAGATGAGCTGGCTAACAGAAAACCACCGTTATTTCATCAGGAATTATGCAAACTGGCGAAGAGACGACGCTGCTGGGAGTCATAAGTCATCCTTTAAAAGATGTGACGGCCCCACTCCGGCCCCCTGCTTCAACCTCCATGTGTTTAACAATAGAGCTGCATCAGCCCCCCGCCCCCCTCCTGCTCAGGGGCCTCTTAAAAGTCTTGCCCTTTTCAACCCTGCTGCCGTAAGCAGCGAATATTATTCATAGCACCTTGTCTCCATCATGGCATCTGTAAAAACCAAACACGATCACCCTAAAATTAATGAGCCGCATCCTCCCCATCACATTTATCTGTTTAGTGGTGTTTTGGGCCCTCCTTTAGGGCATATGCATGCTTCTCTGTTCATATTTATAACCCGGGCTTTTTATTAGCGACGTGGCGGGGCGCTAACAGTTGGGAGGCAGCGGGAGCTTTGATGGCGATGGCAGGCGGCTCGGCGCGGGCCAAATGTGAAGGGAGGAGACGGGAGAGAGGATGGGCTGCCAGGAGCAGGGCCTGATGGAACAGGGGAGGATGGAGGGAGAGAGAGAGGCAGGGAGGTAGGGAGGGAGGGAAAAGTGGAGATTTAAAGGGAGCAGGTGGAAGTAAGTGGATCAGGTTTTAGAAAGCGTCACGTGTTCAGGAAGTATCGTCTGCAGTACAAGCCGTTCAAACTTGAGGTATATAAACACAAATGTGTTCTCTATGATCACATTTGTGGAGTTATGAAATACTCATGGCATAGGCTTCCTACACCGTCTGGAAAACATTTTCTTTATTGCGTTATGTAATCAACATTGCGTTATGTAATCAACATGTCTCTAAACTTAAGCAGATGAAACGTCTCCATCCTTTTCCAATGCCCGCATCCCATCAGTCGTTATCAGCCTGCTCCTAACCTTTCACTGCCTCCCCAATTACAAGAGATGATACCTGACACAACCAGGAAAACTGGCTGGTGACGGCCGGAAAGGTCAGCGTGGGTTCGACGCACCCAACACGATTAGATTTTTCCTTTTTCTTTCTCGCTGCGGCTTCGTTATTGGTGGCGTTTTGAGATATGGTGGTCAGAACGTTGTGATGAGAAACGTCGTTGGGTTTCAATCAGCCTCTTCAGGTTCACCACGGTGCTTACACAGGAAACAAAAACTGACCCCCAGCTAAAGTTTGTGATTTCTTCTTGAGAGGTATTCTGAGATTATTTTTGCAAAAAATTGCAGTGGATATAAGTAGCATTTGGAGCTGTTTATGTTATCCACCAAGGACAAAAAGAAAAGTAGAACCATGTTCTTTAGGTGATCCACTCTGGCATTTAAGGGCCAGAAGGTCACTCTGGATTTATTCACACCAAACATATATATGTTCCAAAGGCTTTGGGAGTTTAGCCCGCCAGCTCTGTTTTTCCTTCAAAAGAAAATCTTTCGTCTTCTAACCTTACTCTTTATTGAAAACATGGAAACTTGTAGTCCTCGTTGCTGAATCGGGGACATCCGTCCTAGAGCCATTTGGAGTCCACAGAGGCATCAGAAAAAATGTAACTTTATTTATTTATGGGTATCCCATCTGGCAGCCTGATGAGATTCCCCTGAATAAATTAGTTCCTAGATGCTGTTGGTGCTCTATGCAAAAATCTCTTAGCCACCCAAGCTGGTATTTCCCACTCAAGAGTTTATTTCTCACCATTTAAAGAGAGTGAAACCATACAGTAGTATCCAGTTGAGAGCTTAATCCAGAGGTTGGAGTTGTCACGCTTGTCAATATTCTGAAATAAATTATTCATCAATCCAACTCCACAATGGAGAACCGCTTCTCTTTGCCGGAGCAGCCGAGGATGTTGGATCAGCCACTGGATTTGTCTCTGCTTATCTTGGCTGGCATAAAGCACTCATCCCGAGAGCGCTTTAGGAAACGGACCCTGGCTTTGCACTGGGCCAGCTGCTGCCGCGTCTCCAGATCGGCGTTTGTCCAAACTCGGACTTAGTCCAGGAGCATTCCTTCATCCTCAACTTTCGCCGCTTGATCATTTGCCGACGCACGGATTCACGTCGCCCACTCGATGCCACGAGACCAGCAAGAAGACATGTTTATGCACGTGTGTTGGCGTTCGCACAAACACGCAGACAAGAGCTGCGTAATTGCACCTGGAGTGTGGCAATTACTCACATTTACTCGCGTTTGCCAAATTATGGGCATACATGGTCAAACTTGCCGCATAAAGTAAAGCGTACCCTCATCACTGCCCACCGGGCGCAAAGGAACTGCTGATCAGCTGCATGACCTTCTCTGCAACAATGTTAATGCCACCTTCTGGGGGAGGAGGAGTAGAGAAGGCAGGAAGGGGCTTGATGGAGTGATGGGGAGGAACACAGAAGCAAGAAAAAGGTGCATGATAAGCTCGTCATACTTGCCACCTACTCACCTGGAATCTCTTTTATCCTCCTTACCTTGTCAGCGTCCCTCATTCCGCATGCATGCTGTGGCGTAAGTACAGTGCATGCCTGAGCGCCGGCACGCTGTGTCACACACGACATCCCAGTCCATCACCGTGGGTCGCAACCTAACATTTAGCGTGCACGAACGCGAGGCCCTGCGGTTTGCCCGCTGACAGGATCCCGTTACGCCAAATGTCACGGTCGCAAAGCGGATTCACCCCCCGCGGTGAGAATGAAGTCAAGACCTTCCCTTGCTCTCTCTTCCCCTCTGTCTGCCTACCTCACCTTGCCCTTCCATCACTCCTTCTCCTTGGTCGCCCGCTCCGCACCGTCTCTGGCTTAACGCCTTCTATCCTCTTTTCTGCTTCCTTACATCTACCTCAAGCACACACACACTCAGTGCGCTTTGCAGTCCTCAGCAGTTTTCTGTATAAAGCCCCCTTCGACTTGCTGGTTTTAGAAGATAATTAGTCCTCAACTGAGGTAGAGGAGGGGACGAGGAAAAAGGAGGACAGAGGAAAAGGTTGAATTCAGGAAATCGATCTGGGTTGAGTTGAAGATGAAGTGACGAAAAAGGTTGAAAGATGCCTTCAGATAATGTTGCGGGCGGCGCAGTTTCTTTTTCTCCTATATCTCTAAAAGCTAAAGTGCCGCTATGTTTCCTGCTTCCCATGTTTCCACACCGTCAACACTTAATTTAGCCCAGAAAGTGGGCACCAACGGAGGATAAATCCCTCTTATTTTATTAGGATTTCATTGCCTTGAACCAACAAAGACAATTCACTGCAGGAAAGAAGAAAGATGTAGGCGTACAGTGTGGATAGGAGACACGGCGCATTACCTCCACTTCTCACTCTAGATGTGTCCTGAACAGCTTTTTAATTTGAAGCCCTGTTTTGTTCCTAGAAAGAAATAGCTTCGAGGAGCAACCGCGCTCCCTTAGCAACAGACACCCCTTCTATTTTTAGAAGGTGCAAACAAGGAAAGAGGCGAGTTCGGAGTGGGATCCTAAATGTCTCTGATGTGTTCAGTCTGTGCAGTCTTATTCCTGATAATGGGACCTGCTACTCCTGTCTGTCAGTGCCTATTTATGCGCCGACGAAGAGGCGAGTTGCACGCACCCAACGGATTCGCTAGCCTCCATCTCGGCTGTCAGAACGGGTTAGCGGGTACAAGCGAAACACAACCATCCCTGGGATCAAACCGCCGCCGTTTCCGCTCAAACATAATAGCTTCATCCTTAGACACGGAAGCGGCTTGCTCCCCGCGCCGGGCCCTTGCCGCTTAGAGTCGTGCTAGCTTGTTGTTGAAGTAATAGACTTCTCAGGATGCCAGTTCACAGGAATAAGGGATGCAAGTCTTTCATTTGCTCTCTGTAGGGAGAGGTGTTTGGAGTAATAGGGATGAAGCAGACCATAACTACAGCTGAATAAATCTCCCTATCTCTACCCAGGGGAAGCTGGTTCGTCAAAGCTCCATAAAATGTTGCTCGGTGGGGGTTTTGCACAGTTTGGGACTTCTTCCCCTGCTACCCGCTCTTCTCTGCAGCAGTTGCAATCAATCAGGGTTTAATCAGGCGTCTTGCTGGAGTTTTCAGGTAATCATGGCTGTCATTGTGGCTATCTGTGCATGTGACAGCTGTGCAACGCAGCAGAGCATCATGCAGAGTTTTTTTTTTTTTTATGTTTGAGCATAACGAATGATCTGATGGCTCTTGAAACGGCTAAGCGGTACGTGAGAGGGAAGACGGACATGCCTGAAAGTTGCCTGATCTGAATGTAATTGAGTGCTTTTCTCTCTGTGCCGCAGACCTGCCTGGAGTTGGAGCGTTACCTGCAGACGGAGCCCAAGCGTCTGTCAGAGCTCTTCGACCAGGACCTGGACGGCCTCCTGACTCCGGCCTACTTGAAGGAGGACGGCGAAGAAGACCTGTCTGAGGCTCTGCTCCCAGGCCTCCCGGAGCCTCCAAGCCCACCTCTAGCCACCCTGTGTCCAATGAGGCAGAACTTAACCTCAACGAAAGACCTCAAACCCAAAGGGCAAGGGCCAGAAACTTCAGACGGAACGGAAGGGGTCCACCAGGCCCAGCTGAGCGCCGTCACCTCCCTAACTCCCCCGTCTTCTCCGGAGCTGGGCCGGCACCTGGTCAAACCCAGCCAGACGCTGACAGCCTCCGCAGACGGGACGCTCACCTTGAAGCTCGTGGCCAGGAAGGTGGGGCTGAGCGCCGCCCGGCTAGTGTCGGGACACGCACTTCCAGTCCAGGTGAAAGAGGAAGAGGAAGGAGCGGCGTGCCTGATCGGGGGAGAGCTACCAGAGAACAAGAAGAGGATCCACCGCTGCCAGTTCAACGGCTGCAGGAAGGTGTACACCAAGAGCTCCCACCTGAAGGCCCACCAGAGGACGCATACAGGTCAGGGGAACTTTTCCTTCATTGACCTTGTTGTTGTATTTGGCAACTTTTCAGCCACAACCAGAATCAACAGGTCAGGCTTTTTAAAGATCGGTGATCAGCCAGAAAACTGCAGTCGGTGCACTCTGAGTTTTATCTGTAGTCTTCTCAATTTGAGAAGCATGGCGCCTGTTTCTCCTTCGTCTGTTCTGGATGTCTTTTAAAGCTTGATAATCTTATCTTGGTGTCATTTCTTTGGTTTTCTTTTCTTCTTTTGTTTTATACCAGAGAGTTTCTCACCAAAGCAGTCTTATCCTCCTTACCATGAAATTTTGCCCTGATGAGATCTGACCACGTTTTCTCATATTCAACGTCTGAATTATTTCTCTTACTCAACTTCCATGTTTGCTCGTCTTTCCCATTTTAATTGTGGCTGAGGAATTTGAGTTTGATAAAAGGTGTCTTATGCGTTTCCTGTATTCTAGGACGTCGATGACTCTGGCGGATCCTCCACAGACTCACAGAGAGTGTTGGTTGCAACATTTAAAAAAAAAAAAAAAAAAAGCAATGAAAGATAAAAACGTGAATGACTTTGGCAGAACCTTCTCCATTTATCGCCCTCTAAGTAAATCTCCCTGCCATACTGAGGCAGGTCCTCCTTGTCAAGGTTCCTCTACAGAAGGAAGTGGGGAGGATGAGCAGGGGGGGCTCAGAAGCTATAACTCTCCGGCTCTTCCATCTCAATCCCGAACCACTCAGACCTCTGTCAGGGAGCTGTCCTCCGACTGAGTAACTGCACAGTGATGGATGGATTGACCTGGATAGGCCGCCATTTCCCAGCTTCATCCCGGGCACCTGTCCTCCGTTCGTTCCGTAGGTCCGAGGTCGGAGAACAGTGTCCGATAGGATCTTTTTTTTTTCTTTTTTTTAAGGCAATAGAATGAGGGGGTGTTGGGGTAAATATCAGGGTTTCTGGTATTAATTAGCAGGATTTCTGATGGGTGTTCACGCTGAACTCCTGAGACTTCCTGCATCAGATCCGGTTGCCGAGGTGAGAACCGTGCATTTCAGATTCTATTAGAACTAATAGCGTTTAGCAGGTCAGGTCTCCAGCCGCCTTTAAGGAAGGCGCGCAGGAGCTATAATTGGATGATTATTGACATTTAATACGTACATAGCCGTTTCTTCCAACCGGAGGGATGGAGAAAACCAACGACCATCACGCCAAACACACTTACAGCCGCTCACATTAGATTTCTCCTCTAAACGGATCACTGAGGCAGCCTCGCCGAGACGCCACATGTGCTGTTTCTATTTTCACGGGTGTGATTTTGAAAAAAAACCAACAACCCCCAAAACAATCAAGTTTTGCCCTTGTCCAAAACCGGACCAGGGCCTGAGCCAGCTGAGACAGGGCCTCGGGCTCCCAGGCCAGCAGGGCACCTCTGCCCCCCCTCCTCCTTCCAAGAGTTCTGCGATTAGAGGCCCAAACTTACTTCTGTTTCAAGGATGAGACGACTGTGTCATAGAAAATATTTTGTTATTTGTTAAAGTAAAAAAAAAAATAAAAAATTTAAAACATTTCAAGAGGATTTACAGAGCCACATAGTCCACATATAGTATGACTTTTACTCTTGTATTACAAATTTATTCTTGTATTATTGTGAATATTTTCACATTATTACAACTTTATTCCTTTTGATATGACTATTTGCAAATTTTTACTTTATTTTCGTACGACTTTATTCTGATAAAAAACAACCCCCAAAACAATCAAACAATAATTTATTCTTATTAAATTACATTTTTTATTAAAAAGTTTGGCAGTAGCTCCCCATTGTAGCAGCTAACAGTCGTTAGCTGCCGCTAAACCACCATCCTGGGCACCATTTCCACAATAGCGCACGGCAGTCGCAGCATCATGCTGAGGGAAGCTGGACTTCATATGGTTGTGTTTTAAACAGTTCCTTCAATTCGTTTGCTGAAATTTGAGGGTAATCTGAAGTTTCTCTGCAAATACTCGGAGTCAAGTTACCTCGGAAAAATCTGCAAAATGCTAAACCTGGAATAAGTTTGTAATTTTCTAATTTAAAAAAAAAAAAAAATCAAACGCCAAAGTTTTCTAGTTCGGAGTCTCGCGCTGAAAGGAAACCTGCTCAAAGCGGCAAGGCGGGAAGACGAAGGAGGAACTGTTGACAAAAGGAAACAAAAGTGAGACGAAGCGCAGAGGAAGAGACGGAGGCGCCGGGTGAACAAAGCGGAGACAAACGGGGGAGGTACAGTGCGGAACCTCTTTGCAGCCTACAACAGTGCCACAGGCTCCCTCATTCACTGAGCCATTATCCTGACAAGTTTAAAGATGTCATTACTCAAATCCTCTTTTTCTTAGTTGTTATTTCCATAAATTACCAAACGAGGGGGGAAAGGCTACGATTTAATCTGGAATTAGACGGGCTGAGTGGAAATGACAGTGCCCTGTAGAGCTTTTTTTTTTTCTTTGTGAATAGGCTTATGGCAGATAAGAAATAGTACAATTAGATTTTGAGGCCGGGGTGAAAAAAAACCAAGACTGTTGGGTTGTTCTGCCGTCTTTCTCATTACCTCGCCTCATCCTCCGCTCTGTCCTCCTTAAAAGCGCGTCTTTCTGGAAGGCGCCGCCGCGTCGCGTGTGTTCATCTGCATCCCGCCCTCCTCTTCATTCTGATCAGGCGTTGTTGAATGACGGCAATGAAATTAGCTCTGTTTCTTGGAAGAGCGTGATTTTCATCAACGCGAAGTCCAGAAGAAGAAACTATTTTATAATTATGCATAAAGGAAACAGGATTTGTTGACAAAAGTTACTACTGAGGTAGAGTAGGTGGGGTCAAGTAAGGTCAACTGATTCCCTTCTATCCTTGCTTAGGAGAGAAGGAAAGGTTAGGGTTAGAGGCTCATCATCCAACATCCATTCCATTTTCCGTCGCTCCCCTCTAACCTGTGTGTCTCTCCTCTCCCTGGCCGCGGAGCCGCCCCAGCCTCAGCGTCTGTAACGACCTGTGAGACCCAGACGCTCTGCCCGGGTTCTGGCTAATGCAGGGAATGTAATTAAGTTCCAGCGCTGGCACCTGAGAGGCTGCGGAGCCGCGCCACGCACGCCGCCGCTCATGCGCGCACAGAAGAGAGCATTCGGAAGTAACAGATTACACATAATGGGATTAGGGGTGACTCGGGGAAACACCCAGTTATCAGATTACACATGAGAAATGTGTTTTGGAAGGCGACTGCACATATGCCGCTTCCTCGGATGGATGAAAAAAATAGCAGCTGGAAAACAGATGCAGTTCTTTTTTTTTTTCTTGATGCACAAATTAACACTTTCCACAAATAATCCACTTAACTTCATAATCTTCATTCAGTGTTTTCGTGAAACTAATCCAAAGTTAACAGTAATATAATCTGATTATGGCTGAGTTGGGGCTAATCTGGATTAGATGGAGCTGTCAGTCTGGGATCCGGCTGCGTTGCCCGGTTGTCGGGACGGCTTCGGAGGGGAGACCAGCGCTGGCGGTGATGGAGGGGAGGGATTGTTGCCAGGCAACGTGAGCAGTGTATGGTTGGAGGAGTCTGTAGCTGAGTGGCTGTGTGCTGCTGCAGGCTGCCGCCCCGCCCCTTTCCTCCGCCACCGCTATCACCACCGAGCAACTGGCTCCGCGCTCTGCCAGCGCGCTCGCTAATTGGCCGGCGGCGTGCCGGTGCCAGATCCAGCCAGCTGCGCCGACTGCTGCCTCCTCGTGTTTCACCCCCCACATCCCCCCTACACACACTCTCTCACACACGTACAGATGCGACGCGCCCCTCCCCCTTGCAGACATTGCTAGGCAACACACTCAGGCATCCCTGCCTCCTGGGGATTTCATTGGCCAGAGGCGGAAGGGCTCGCACCCGCTGTGGACAGGGTCCAGGGAACCGGGCTAACTGCTGAGACCAAACCAAAGCGAACACAAACGCTACAACCGTGCAGATTTTCTAAACCAAATCACCCAGCAGAACAAAAAACTAGTCTGTAGATCTCTACTTAGCAACTTAGCAACTTTTCTTGCATACAGTTCTTTGTTTATCCATTATAAAGCGATGTGGCAAAAAGCTCTTCAAATTTTACCCCGGAAATTTTAAGCGATGTTTCTGCAAATAGCAGAAGTGCAGAGTGAAGGCGCAGCTTTTCGTCACTTGGAGGTCGTCACCTCCTCGGTGGTCGGGGCCCCCGGCCCCTCATTTCACACCTTTCTACCGTCTCTGAGTCCTGCTAATTAAGTGTTTCTCAACATGGCTTCTGGCCGACCCACAGCCCTTGAACCGAGCAGACATTGCGAGATCCGTTTCATCTTTAGATTTGTTGTGCCCTGCGCGCCGATTCATGTCGATTCCCACCGAATTAGCAGCAGATGTTCCCTTTGACTTGCTCGCTTGGACATGCTGTGCAGGCGTGGATTTTTCCTTTTCTTTTGTTTTTGGAATTTCTACGTCCCGTGGCACCGATAATGCCGTAAAACCATCGCCGTCTTTGAACAAGAACTTGACAGCAGTTGAGCCATCGATTGCGTCTCCTCTATGGTCACATTGGATGGATTAAGCCGCCGTTGGTGTGGAAAGCACTCAAGCTGTGCTGGTCAGTGTGTCTGGATTCAACCAGATGGGATGTGACTGATGCAGTTGACATCTTCGGAGCTGGACGCAGCTGGTGTATTGTGGCTTCCTTGCCATTATGTGACTGGCCTAATTATCACCACCCCCTCTTCTCCTCCTTCTTCTTTCCCTGCCGGCATATCTGCAGCCTCCCCTGCCTTAATCCACTTCTGCGGCACTTCTCTCCTACTCACACTCATCTCACCTTCTCTTCCCAGACTTTCATCCACCTTGGCTCTAATCCCCACCCCCAAACCCCCATCGCTTCTCCCGCTCCACTTCTAGCAACCCCTTCTCTGCTCTTTTGCATGTTCAGCAAGATCGCAGACCAGTGGGAGCTTCTCCATTCCAGTTGAACATTTCGTTATGTTTTTAGTGTCCTAAAAGAGGACAAACTTGCATACGGAATGGAGAATTCTAAGCATTTCTCTTTGTCCGATTATTTGTTTTTCTTCCAGTGGGCCTAGGCAGTACGTTTTACATTGTTGGAACCATGTTTGTCACCCCATGACTGAATGAATGTTGAAGAAAGAAGACGTATCGACAGTTTCACAATTCAATGGCGTCTCATTCTTCATCCCATGTGTCTGAACTCGAGGCTATAAAATGTCTTACTCTGTTGCCCTTAAACACATTAATCATAGATTTTAAATGTTGTTATGGTAGGACTGTTTCATCTTGTATATGGAGCTCAATTTGTTGCTAGACTCTTCTGCAGCTGCTAATATACCTTAGCAAACTGTGTAGCCAGGTTGCTAAGGTATATTAGTTGGGATTTCGTCAGATTTTGATGTAGTGGTTGCTAACTCGCATGCAAGTTGCAATTGCTCCGTCATGTCGACTAGTATTGGCGATGCTATATGTTGTCTGGAGACGGAGAGACAGAACGGCAATCGGAACCGTTTCAGCGGATATGTTTTCATAAAATTTTTTTTTGGGGGGGGGAAACTAGAACCAGCTGAAGCGACTGTGAAAACCTTTCTTGCGCAATTGAGGAAGTGATTTGAAATTCTACCATTTCCATCAACCTTGTTCTAATGCGAGACTTCAACAAAAACCAACCAGCTGCCTAACGGTGCATCAGTCATTGCCAAAACATTAATTTCCTTGTTTTTATTTTGTGCCGAGTATATTTAACTCAAAGGAAGCTGATATTCGCTGCTGCGGTTCATAAGTAAATAAGAATATGACAGGTGATGAAAGTGGTGCTTATCTATATATATATTTTTTCTTCACTTTCGTGCTCCAGGTGAGAAGCCGTACAAGTGCTCATGGGAGGGCTGCGAGTGGCGATTCGCCAGGAGCGACGAGCTGACGAGGCACTACCGCAAACACACGGGTGCCAAGCCTTTTAAGTGCAACCACTGTGACAGGTCTGTCAAAACACAACTCTCCCTCCTTTCACGCCGTCTGATGTGTGTGTGTGTGTTTTTTCTCCCATTTTCCTGCTGTTATTCGTGTTTTCTGCAAAGTTTGCTACCAGATACTCCTAACACATTCTAAACTGTTTTGGTTCTGACCCAGTTTGAAAGTGCGCTGGCAGGATTACTAATGTGTGCTTCTTTGAAACCTGCAAAGTCTTCCAGGAGAGGACCCAGAGAGCACTCACTCTGCTTTACATTTAGCCTGGCGCTGCATATTAATACCGGGTTGAGCCTTGATAGGGAGGCTGCTTTCAGTGGAACCAAAGTGCTAAACAGGTGTGGAATCAATTAATGTCATCACACAAAAGTCTATGACATATTAATCTTCTGTTTTGGTGGAGTCTTTATAAGATTTACTGAAATTGTTTTACTTAAAAAAACAAAAAACAAAGGACCTCTACATTTTTGTATTTTCAAGCAGCGCACCAATATTGCATCAAAATAGCTAATATGTTATTTGACTATTTTTGTTATTGTAATCAAACTGTGCTAATATACAATGAATGTTGCGTTAATGCACTTCACAAGACAAAAGTCAGACGTTGAAGCACTGGTCCAAGGGTAATTTCTATACAATTAACAAGACAGAAAAAATTTATTCAAAGACATTTTTTTGTGGCTCCTCCCATATCCATGACGAATTTAAAGTGATACGAAAAAAGCACAGTAATTGCAGTGAGAGTGATTTTCATTGTCTTGAAAAACATTTTGTAAAATTTGTAAAAGGGAAAAAATATATTTGACTGAAAATATACTCTAAATCTGGGCAGTAATTTGATATTAATTCAGTTTTAATTTACTTTCAACACCAAAAATGTTTCACTTTATATCGTCCTTATACAGAAAGTGTTTTTAGCTAATAGGAAAAGGATTGCTGTAAGACAAAGACAAATTTTTTGCAAGTATTCAAGGCTTAAAGCCCTGGATGAGCCCCCAAATTATTTTACAGAACTTTAGTTTGGTTAGGTGGTAACAGAGGAGACACTTTTAATTAAACGAATAAAGTCATATGATACGATGCAACTTTCTTGTCAGGTGGATCTTTCTGTAAATTATGTGCAACAAGCTTAAGTTATTCATGAGGATGGAACTCGATGAAGATGTCATCCATTTGTCAAATGTGGCATAAACTGTCTACTGTAGGGGAGCTTTTAGTACAGCGACAGTGTGGAAATTGGACACAATGGAGGAAGTTAGTGAATATGGGACCTCTTGAATCATGCATAGGTTCATTATTGAAGGACAAAAAGAAATCCCTTCTCACCTGGGGTACTTTCCCTAATGTCGATAAGATTGGGGGGTCTTTGGTTGTGTGTTAATGAACAGCAGGCCAGACAGCGAAAGCTAAATCAAGTCCCAGCTGGGTAGACTGTAAGTACAGTATTTTTCCCCACCACGAGCCCCCCCCCCCACACACACACCCGCAGACATACCCCTAATTTGGGCCCACCTCTGTCATGTGTCAGAAGGCGTCCAGCCCTTCCAGCCTAAAGACCCAAACACACACATGCCCCCTGCTGAGATGAAAGAAGAGGGGGAAAAAAAAAAGTGGAGGGGAAGATTGAGGATTGCAGGGGGTTTTGTGGGGTGAGACAGACCCACGGTGTGCCAGCTGGTGCCGTGCCCCCAAGTCGTGACTCATACTTCCCCATCTGTCTCCGAGAGTGTACACACACACACACACACACTCCTAATGACACACGGGAACAGTGACGATCGACTCCGTAGCACTTTGTTCATTCCACGAGTGTGTATGGATAAAAACACACATAAAGATAGGACAGAAAGTGGTAAGACATGGAGGTCCAATGACAAACTGTTGATCACCTTAAAAACAATCAACAGTTGAAGGCATGTGAAAACAGATTTTTATTTTTTGCAATATTCTTGCAACATATTTCATGGTGAAAATCCTATAGTCTACTGTCTTTGGTTGCTTTAAATTGGTTCAGTTCAGCCATATTAATGCACTAAATGCCCTTTTTCCTCCCATCTAACCACTACAAGTAGTTTGTTTATGCTGGTAAGGGGGTATGGGCAGTTCTAATAGTTTCTTTATGATGTAGAGAGGGCAAATTAATTGGTCCCTTCTGACAGTCATACCTGCCTGTTACCATTTAAAACGCCTCAAATTTCATTGCCGTAAGCAAACCATTTCATACCATCGAACCCAACTTCTGTATGTCGGTCAATGTGTAGTGAAAGTCATGCGTTTTAATAAATTGTGGAGATAAATATTAATATGCGTCATTAGATCATTCCCCACAGATTGGATATTACAGCCTGATTTCATGAGTTGGGGTTTGCTGGTGTTTGAGTCGAAGGCAACAAGATTTCTCTCGTTTCTTGATGTTTCACCTCTCACCCAAAAAGCCTGGGAATAAGTTTATAATTTGTAGTCTGTACAATCACACTAAAAGGGCCATTAAGGTCCTAGAATGAATCATTAAGGAAATACAAGTCATTGGCCCCGCCCTCCATTTAGGTGAATACTTCTGTTTTCCTCATTTGGTGCTCCAAACATATCTCTGATTTGATTCTGACTTTTCGAGACTTCCTTTTGACTTGTCTCTCAAAGGCTTAAAAGTTGAAGTCAAAAACATTCGAGTTGACTTTTGAAAACTACAACTTGTACCAAGCCTGATCGTTTTAAACAAGAGGACTCGGTGACGATGCGCCGCCTTCTTGAAATGGGTGAAGCGAGAAGGCCGAGGGGAAGTGGCAATGCAAATAAACTGATCGATAATGAAATAAGACTCACCCTAAAAGAACTCTTCCTCTGAAATGTTTCTTACACACCAATTACCGAAGCAAACAGCTCCCTGTTATCTCCTATAAAGCAACCCTCTTATTTGGAAAGCACTTCTCATGGGAATGGAGCAGTTGTTTTCCTCTACCGACTCTCAGCGAAAGCATAGTTTATCCAGACACGCACATGGAAAAAAAAACAAAAAAAAATTGTAAGGGTTTGATGAAGGCTGCATAAATGTGAGTGTGTGTTTGTGGACGCAGGCGCAGGAATGAGCCGGCTGAAAGCCTTTATTATGTCGGTTTGTGGCAATCAGCTTGAAATCCTCATTTTCACAAACATTTTTCAAAACCCCCCTCACTGATAACAAAAGACAAGAGCAATTTCATCTTCGTTTTTTTCCCCCCTCTTTTCCCAGCGTGGAGCGACGCCCCAGCAATTCCACCAGGCTGGTTTTTTCGACGGGAGGCTTCGAGCCGTCTAATTTAGCCGTCGTTTCCCCACCGCGTGTTTTGCATGCCGCCTTTTATTCCCGTTCCCCTCCTTCTCGCCCCCCCAACACTGCTTCAACAGATCCATCTGCAGGCTCTCTAGTTATTCATGGCGCAGCTGAAGTCATTAGGAGTTCTGCTGAAAACGCTGATTATGAATTAGTTACACATATACTAATTGCGTGCGCATTAGCGGCTCAGCGCGCGCTAGCTAACAGCAACATTTAGCTCCTTCTGCAAAACAAACTTCTTCCTCATGCTTTAGTAACGAGCTAACGAGCTGCTCTCTGTTTTCTCCTCCTCACCCTCCCACCCCCGTTCGGCTGCAGGTGCTTCTCGCGGTCGGATCACCTGGCGCTGCACATGAAGAGGCACATCTGAGGAGTCGGCGAGAAGGTCAACGGCAGCGAAAGGAGGAGATGGACCGTCGGCGGCTGAAAACTTAACAAGAGGACGGCGGAGAGGATGGGTTCGGAAGGACCAGAGAGGGTGCCTGATCATATGCAGAACTGAGATCAACTAATAGAGAATGGCAACACTCTATCTATGACTCTCCAAGGGTTTGGTGGAGGAAGTCATGGCAGCTCCTTGTTTTCGTCATGCGATGAGCGATCAGGCCGCGTCGCTCAGCGATTGTACAGTCACACGTTTTCAACATTCCTACTCTTTCAGAAGTTCCACATATTCAAAAAAAAAGGGTTTTCAGCTTTCATCTCGTCAAACCTGCCACAGCCGTTAGAATCATCCTTTGAGTTTTGGGAAAACGCCACGTGGATCTTTCTGCTCTTCTGGCAATGGAGTCCTCAGAGACGTGTTGCTCCGATGCGTGGTCGTTCTGTTGCACTGACTCACCCTCCCACCCCCCGTGAACCACCAACCCCAGATCAACTTCTGCTGAGACAGACATATCGAAACTGACCGTCTGGTAAGATGTAAGGCAGCTTTCTGAGAGTGCGTTTCCTTCTTGAGACCTTATCAGTTGACAAAAACGGTTGCACAATTGACTCTTTCCAACTTTTTGTAATAAAAAAGAAAAGAAAGAAAAAAAACACAAAAACGTTCCAATGTCCAAATGAAACGCTGGCTTTCATGTGCCACCCGAGCACAAGTTTAAGCAGCTAGCCCCCTGCGATAGCACACCGAACACAAAACGACATCACTATGTATTTAAAGGTTCTATTGTTTCTAAACGGTTTTGAGAAAGGCCGTTTTAAATAGACACCTCGCGAGAGACGGAACCCGCAGGAAACGGATGCGGCGAGGAGGAGAAAAGAAAGATGGATGCCCGAAATGATCTCTTTGGGATTCGAGAGTGATTGGCACCAACCAAGCCGCTGGTCTGAGACGGTCCAGCTCACATTCCTGCAGAACTCTTCCAATTAAGCATCTCTCTGACTTGACATCAAAGAAAAAAAATGTATTGGACATCTCTCTAAATTTGGCTCTGTACATCCAAGACGATTTCTGCTGACTCCCTGACCAGCATATATGTCGGAATGCTGAAATTTCCCCCCACAGGACTCACCCTTAGGAAGGCACATTCAATCAATCAATCGGGTCCTGTCAGAGAAAATCAATGTGAATGTATCTGTTGCAATTCTGGCCATTTTTGCAAGATCCATTAAAACACTGGAGGATGGTGGGGGAGACCATACCAGACACTGTTTCTGTTCTTTTTCGCGTTAGGGGAAAAATGACCGGACTTGGAGAAACTGGCTGGTCACAGCTGGTAGCTTTTGACATTTCGCCGGCTCTCGTGGACCAGCATGAGTGCAGGTTTCCAGTGGGTGGCTAAAATGGGTTAGGGGAGGGTGCGTCTGCTCAGTCAGCAATGGTAACTGCCCCATCAGCTTCTGTAACGGCGGCAGAGCGAAAAACCCACACACACGACGAGTCAAACATCCGCACCAGAAAAACTGCAATTAGCGTTTATATTGCGTGACATGGCCTTTGTCGTGTCGAGGAGAAGCAACTAAAATCAGATTCTTAGATGTCTTAAATTCACAGATGGATTTGAGATGGATGTAAGATTACACACAAGCTTGGTTTTAATTTTTCTGGTTTATTGCCTTGAAGGAAAAGTCTTCAGAGTAAATGGTCTGCGTCAGAGTTCCAGCTCTAAATCTGGGATCTAGCTGAAATAAGTCACGCAATCCTGAAACAGAAAACCAAACTTCAGAGTTTTTGAAGGCACAAAGGAGACTGAAAACCTTGAAGCACAAATTTTCCAGCCAGCACCAGCGGTCTTAAAGAAAGGCCAAAAACCTTTGGGTGTGCAGATGACGGGACGATTGCTTGAGCCGTCTTAGGAAAGTTTCATCGTCTCGTATTGTGAAACCATTCTGATTAGTTTAAAAAGATAACACCGTTTAAGGTGTCCAATGTACGGACAGGAGTCAAGGACGGTAGGCTGAGCAGAGTTGATAAGTGTTTGTGAAGTGGGGAACGGTAGCAGCAGCAGAACAAAACTTACTCGTTCTTGTGGTTGTAGCAAATTATATCGAGTGCGGTGGCCATCTTTGCAACAACACTCACAAATCCACTGCACAGATTACCACACAAAACACTTTTTTTTGCTAGTTGCAGTGTCAAATTTGAGTCCAAACGTTAGCAACCTTAGCAAAAAGTGCAGCCGATTCGTGAAAGAGCCGACAGCATTGCTAGTCATGTTGACTAGCAATGACAGCATTGCCCCTCTACCCCAAACGAAGGGCTTATCCCTTCATTTGGGGTAAACCCCCATTCAAGCTAGTTGAAGGGTTGTCAAAAAATGTCCTGTTTATTTGGCTAACATGACCAATAATTCATATTCATAGTTTCAAAAACTATAAAAGTGACACATTTTACTCTGGAGATTATATTTATTTATTTATCCATGTATTTTTTGTTATTTATTTGTTGTTGTCATACAACTCTTCCGATAATGCGAAGAACGCAAACATTTCAACTTTCAAGCAGATTTGCTGTAGTGTAATTTTTTGACTGTACATGAAAGAGGAAGCAAAGAATGGCAGTTTCACCATTTCTATGGTGACTGCTGACCACTGATGGCAGCTCTATGTGTGTGTTTCAGTATTTAAGTTGGATATGTTTCTACTGAATGACTCTGTGTGATTTTAAATAAGCTGGAGACTGTTCCACATCGATTGAAACGGTGGATTTAAACAAGAACATTTGGGGGTGGGGTTGGGTGGGGGGATTTTATGTTTGTTTGCTTGACTTTCTTTGAATTTTTTTGAACAAGAAGCTGATCTGAAATGTCAGCCCGCCTCCTTTTGGGCGGCTGACGAAAGCAAAATTGTTCTCCAGGAGTCGTGGGAAACCGAGATCTCAAAATGTGAATGTGTTTTCTGGGGTGGGGTTGGGTGGGGTCTTCATGTCGTCTCTGAGGATGTTTACGTTCCGTGTCATCTCAATGATTGATTCAGTTCTGTTGTGCCTGTGTGTTCTTTATCTGTGTTTTTGCACTCTGACTTTTTTATTATTATTATTATTATTATTTCAAGAGAAAAAAAAAATCACTTGCATATCTGATGTTTTTGTTTACCTGTCTACAGTCGTAACCACCATGCTCTAACCATGATCACAAAGTCTGTACAGGAGGGTTTTTTTTTTCTTTTTTTGGCACAACATCCACACACTGTAACACTTTTCACCGACACCTGTAGACGCACACTCTGCTCGTTCCTCGCACTTTTCGCCGATTTCAGAAAGAAAGAAAATAATCTTTTATTCGAGACTGCAGCTCGAGCTTTTTCTGCAGAATGTGCGGGGGTTACGTACATCACTTTGTGTGACGCCGCCTCCATTTCCACCAGGTCTGAATTTGAAATCAAACGCACCTCCCCTTTTTCTACCAGCACACTCTCTATTTCCCTCCATCCCCACCCCGACACTTTTCCCTTTCCCCCTCTCCGTCGTCCTTCTGTTTGTGTTCCTCTGTACAAAGTGTTTCAAATTTATCATTTGTATATTCTGATGTATGGGTACGATAATGTTCTTTATTATGGAAAAATGAGAAAGATTTATTTTTGTTACCGGTTTGTTTCATAATTCCTTTTTTAAATTGGTATTGTAATTTCTCTATGCAAGGAAACTGTTCAGTGAATCGTTTTTATTTAAGAATGTAATTATGTGTAATAAATGGTAGAAGCAGTTTGGCATGGAGTATTCCTGCTTCTTCGGCTGGTCTGTTCCCCCCCGACCCCCCCGAGCAACAATGCCCACCTAATCACCAATCTTCACGCTGGATACCCCCCAATCCCGCTGCCCCGATTTCTTATCGAGTCTCAATCACGGAGCCCATTCAGCACGCTAACAAAGAGCGACCGCGTTGCTTCCTCGTCTCACTGACCAGCGCACTCCTCTTTAGAGGTCTGGCCACAAGTTCGAGAGCGAAACGTGAACTCGGGACGAGTCAGGAGGAGGACGAGGGGGGGTGGGGCAAATTTAATTTGCTCCCTCCTGTTTCTGCTAAGCCCGAGAGGAACAAAAGAGACCGGCTGACTTATCTCCGCTTTCGATCAAACGCAGGAAATAAGCCGGAATGCCTTCGGTTTGCCTCGATGCACGCTCTCCTTGTCTCCCTCCGAGGGAGCTATGGCGTGTTAATTACATCTGTTACCAACCAAGGTGACGACTTATCCACTATTCCTGCCTTTTGACCATGACTAACTGATAAAAGGGTAATCGAATAACTAATGGCTAATTAGGGAGTAATTACTTCCTGGTAAATGGCCCTATGCAGTGTATTAATTCTCCTTGGGTCTGGCGGTGAGAAACTCCCATAAGGGCTTTTGTTTCATTTAATGCTCCCTAATTGAAATGGGCACCCTCATCAAGAAGCTTACATGTATCTGTCGAACTTAATGTACTTTTATCTGTAATTACAGAACGGCTGCGTATCATCTACCTCCCGACGTCGTCTGTGTGAGGCTGCAGAGACAAAGAACCATGAAGCCATCTTTCAGTGAAAGGTCGCTTTTCGAGCGTCGTCGTCGTCTTCCGGTTGGCGATGGAACGACAAGCAACCTGGTCAGCTTCCGCTGTTCTCTACGAGGCCACACAAACTGGAGTCGAATTTTGTTTCACAGTTTCACCGATGAGTTGGTCCATATTTGTTGCGTTACTAATACAAAAGCAACCACTGGTTTTTTCATTAGTTGTATTTATTTCTCATCATATCCCCTTCACAGGTGCATTTTTTTTTAATCCAAGCTGCAGCATGAATTTACCTCCACGCCTACAGCCAGCTGACCTTTGACCTCCAAACATTTACAGGCTGCTGTGTGCGAGCCGGCCCGACTTCTCGTCGCGATATTATCCTGGTCAATATCTCCACGAGGGTTCGCGCGGTTTAATTAAAAAAAACAAAATCAGACATGCCCTTGCATGATCTCCCTCCCTGACAGCACTTGACAGTGAATACAACTGAATTAACGCAGACACAGTGCGGTAAGAGGTGGATTTGTTATCCGGATAATTACACTGGGGGACGCCGGAGAAAAAAACCCGTGAATAATAGAAAAGATAAGACGATAAACACGTCTTTTTCAATGCTTGATCACATGTACTCTGTCACCCCGCTTTCACACGTCGCTATCAAATGATAACATCTTTGTAATTCCGGAAGGACAACAAGAAATCCAACGTGCACGGGTGGCGTTTTAATTCTGTTGACACCGTATTTAATTAATGCTTATTCGGGAGCAAGTTAGTTATTATGCCGCTGGTGTTGGATTCAGATTTGTTTACTCAGAGATCAGTGTTTAGCTCCAAAGAGCTGAGCAATTGCTAAATGAAAAGGAAGCAACAAAATGCAGTTTTGATGGTTGGAATCGAAACCCAGCGGAGGTTTCGTTTCCGTCTCCAGATTTGTTTTTTTTTTTTGTTTTTTTTTTTGGAGCAGTGATTGCTTGCCGTCCTGCGGGATTATGAGCCGTGCCCTTGAATCTTCTACTTCCTTCTGCGGCTCTAAACACCTGAGCACATTTCCGAAGCGGTGCCTCCTTTTTTTTGTTGTTGTTTCATATACAATGATTCGGTTGCAGCTCCCATCACTGGAGGAGGGCATAAATGGTGGGAAAGTGCTGAATCGAAGCCCTTGCAATAAAAGGGGAAAAAAGAGGATTCTTGAGGCAAAGCGGTGATTCACCTGACGAGCTGAACAGTGAGCTTTCTTTCTTTTTTTTTTCATGTGGTTGTAACGGGAGATTTTACAGAGGGAGCTGCCAATGCCCGTGGGTGCTTTATAGGCGTCTGGCAGCCATATTGGGATGTTTCTGTCAAATCTGCCAATGGAGACGGAGACATGCTGAGAGACCCGACAGGTTCAACCTCTCCTTTACTCTCATCTTTTTTATGCTCTCTATGAAACTAGAGTTTCATAGGATAGAGTTGCAAACAATTTCGTATCTGATTGCGCAAACCATGGATTCTCCGGTTGCACTCCTGCGGGTGGGGGTATCATCAGAAATCCAAAACTGGAGATGCAGACTGGGGGTTCTCAATTATCGGGAATGTGTCGTCGCGGCTCCCTGTAATTAAAGTCTAATCACGCCGGTGGATTCGGGGAAGCGTCCTCATCAAACTTTCATTAGTCTGCCTCCTCGTGACGGCTAGCGCCCAACCCGAGCGGTCAGACGGACGCATCAAGGCGTTGTGTTTTAGGGAAATGTGGATGTTCGCTGTCAAGGCTTTTTAGAAGCGTTTCATGGAAATGAGCGAGGAAAAATGGAAAATCTTCACCTTCGCCAATCAACTTGGGTTGTTTCCAATCACCCAGCGAACAGAAGGAGAAAAATATAGATCATTACCATGATAGGTAATACAAAAAAAAAAGACAACAAAATTGGCATTGGAGAGACTTTTGTTGTTAGCATTTTACAGGTGCTCTCTTGTTAGTGTCTTATAATGAATGAAAGGATAAATATCTATGAAAAGCTAACTAGCTTAAACACTGAAACTTACCAAAATAATTCAAATGTAAGCACGTCATAGAACTGTAGCTTTCCTATGAAATAACTGATTTGACTTTGTGGTTTTAAAATACAAATACACTGAACTAATCAAGTCAGATAATGTGACCCAGACAACTTTTCACTGCATGCTTTAGGCCACCAGGTTCTTGGTCAAAGGAAAACGGAGAGTGCAGAAAAACAAAAATGGCGCCCCGGTCAGAGTCTGCACTCGTTCTCACTCTTTCCTCCGACTCTTTCCCTCCTCTGGGATGGTTTGGGATGAAACTACAGGCGAGGTGTTTGTGTTTGAAGCGGGAGCAAGCAGCTGGAGAGCCCGGCGGTCCCGTGCTCGGAGTCAGATCAACCGGGGCGCCGTGTGAGAGCACCTGGCTCTCTCATACGGTGCCTGCTTGACAGACAGCACAGACACCTGGAGGTCCAAAGAGAGAGCGCCGTGTATGAGCCACCGCTGCTCTACAGGGCCATGCATTATGCAGGAAGCTTTCTCTCTCCTCCCTCTGTCTGTCTGCATCCCCCCCTCTCTGCCCCCTGCTCTGCGGTAAAAATAGATCAACAGACCTTAGCGTTCAGCTCTTTTTTTTCGCCTCTCACTTTCACTTGGATCCCACCAGGTGCAGCGACTGCTGGCACGCGCCCCACATTTCTTCGCCTAGGTGTTTGTGCTTCCGAGGCTTAAACGTGTGGGTGTTTACACACTCTTTTCACCGTGTGTGTGTGTGTGTGTGTGTGTGTGTGTGTGTGTGTGTGTGTGTGTGTGTGTGTGTGTGTGCACATGTCAGCCTGGGTTGTTTCATCAGTTTGCACTGCACTCAACTTCCAATAAAAGTGGGATATTAGTCTCACAGTGGTTTTTCTGGTTATTATCGAAGGAAGGATTTTGGAGGAGGTATTATTTGGCAGCGGCTGGTGCCGTGACATTTGCAGATATTGCATTATAGCTTGTACTTTGAGGCCAAAAGCATGCGAACTCCCCATTATCTCGAAACGGAGTGCTTGAATACAATCAGGAGGCACACCAATGGAGCAGAAAATTTAAGAAAAACAGAAAGGGCATGTCATTGCTTTTGAATTTTCTTCAAATTTCGACTTCTCACTTTCTTCTCTCTGCAAGTATGAATGTATGGGACCTTCACTTAACCATTCGCGTCTCACTGAGGTTAAAAATCTCTGTTTCAAGGGAGGCGGACGATCAGAATGAGCAACATCTGATGGTTCCTTGAAGTAACAGGGAGTTCGAATATCGTCATTCGGCGTATCAGGCAATCGTACAACGTGGCACCCACAAACAAACATTGGTATAATCTTTAATATACACTCCAGGGGTCTTCATTTGCAGCGAACCATGTCTAACTCTGAGTTCTTATGGATGACAGGCTGGTTTTAACATGAAGGAAGAGCCTCCTCCTCCTAATATCTGCTCAGGGTGACGGCTGGCATCCATTCGGAGGTTTTTCCTGACTTCCTCTGGGGGTCCAGAGGAAGACCCCCAGGGAGGAACACTGTGGAATCCCTTTAGACTGAGCTGGAGCTGAACAATCCCACAGCTCAGGGTGTTGGTACCTGTCCAAGTTGATGTTAGGCTCCTGTACAAGAGGATCAGGGGAATTTTTTCCATATTGTCCTTCTTTATGACAGTAATTGCGTCATCTTTCAAACGATGCGTTCAACGTCCAGAACTTGTGTCTGGACAGGAATGTCCATCCTCTGGTCACATTCTTGTTTGGACTGCCCATGTAATACTTCATTCATGTCTCTCCATGAGTCTACTGTTGGCCCTAAGAGCCAGAAATACCCATAATTCACCTGCCTGGACGTTTCCAGCCTTTGAAGAGATGCCAGGGTGGATCTGGTACTCCATGGAGAGACAAAATGTTGTTTCTGGCTTGGAAAAACCTGGGAGTCCCCATGAATCCATTCCCCGATCTGTTGCCTCTTTCGTCCAACCTCAGATGTAGAAAAGACAATAAAAAGTCAGAAGCACTTCTCCGGCGACTACAAATGAGTGTTTATCTCAAGGGGCATTACTTTGAAAAGTTCTAAAACGAGAATCTTGTAAATGGACAGAATTCACCTCTAAAAATTCATGACAAGTATCAGAACCAAATGATCTGCTGCCAACTTCTCCCTTAAGACCAAAGTTTAAGCAAAAAACTACATATATACATTTGCACATAA